TTGTTGCTATTCGGTTACTGAGGTGTTTGGTTTAGTTTTAATAAAGTTGCTATGCGGTTACTGAGGTGTTTGGAATAGTGTCCAATGTGTTGCTATGCGGTTGCTAAGGTGTTTGGTTTAGTTTTTAGAAAGTTGCTATGCAGTTGCTGAGGTGTTTGGAATAGTGTCCAACGTGTTGCTATGCGGTTGCTAAGTCGTTTGGTTTAGTTTTTAGAAAGTTGCTATGCAGTTGCTGAGGTGTTTGGAATAGTGTCCAACGTGTTGCTATGCGGTTGCTAAGTCGTTTGGTTTAGTTTTTAGAAAGTTGCTATGCAGTTGCTGAGGTGTTTGGAATAGTGTCCAACGTGTTGCTATGCGGTTGCTAAGTCGTTTGGTTTAGTTTTTAGAAAGTTGCTATGCAGTTGCTGAGGTGTTTGGAATAGTGTCCAACGTGTTGCTATGCGGTTGCTAAGTCGTTTGGTTTAGTTTTTAGAAAGTTGCTATGCAGTTGCTGAGGTGTTTGGAATAGTGTCCAACGTGTTGCTATGCGGTTGCTAAGTCGTTTGGTTTAGTTTTTAGAAAGTTGCTATGCAGTTGCTGAGGTGTTTGGAATAGTGTCCAACGTGTTGCTATGCGGTTGCTAAGTCGTTTGGTTTAGTTTTTAGAAAGTTGCTATGCAGTTGCTGAGGTGTTTGGAATAGTGTCCAACGTGTTGCTATGCGGTTGCTAAGTCGTTTGGTTTAGTTTTTAGAAAGTTGCTATGCAGTTGCTGAGGTGTTTGGAATAGTGTCCAACGTGTTGCTATGCGGTTGCTAAGTCGTTTGGTTTAGTTTTTAGAAAGTTGCTATGCAGTTGCTGAGGTGTTTGGAATAGTGTCCAACGTGTTGCTATGCGGTTGCTAAGTCGTTTGGTTTAGTTTTTAGAAAGTTGCTATGCAGTTGCTGAGGTGTTTGGAATAGTGTCCAACGTGTTGCTATGCGGTTGCTAAGTCGTTTGGTTTAGTTTTTAGAAAGTTGCTATGCAGTTGCTGAGGTGTTTGGAATAGTGTCCAACGTGTTGCTATGCGGTTGCTAAGTCGTTTGGTTTAGTTTTTAGAAAGTTGCTATGCAGTTGCTGAGGTGTTTGGAATAGTGTCCAACGTGTTGCTATGCGGTTGCTAAGTCGTTTGGTTTAGTTTTTAGAAAGTTGCTATGCAGTTGCTGAGGTGTTTGGAATAGTGTCCAACGTGTTGCTATGCGGTTGCTAAGTCGTTTGGTTTAGTTTTTAGAAAGTTGCTATGCAGTTGCTGAGGTGTTTGGAATAGTGTCCAACGTGTTGCTATGCGGTTGCTAAGTCGTTTGGTTTAGTTTTTAGAAAGTTGCTATGCAGTTGCTGAGGTGTTTGGAATAGTGTCCAACGTGTTGCTATGCGGTTGCTAAGTCGTTTGGTTTAGTTTTTAGAAAGTTGCTATGCAGTTGCTGAGGTGTTTGGAATAGTGTCCAACGTGTTGCTATGCGGTTGCTAAGTCGTTTGGTTTAGTTTTTAGAAAGTTGCTATGCAGTTGCTGAGGTGTTTGGAATAGTGTCCAACGTGTTGCTATGCGGTTGCTAAGTCGTTTGGTTTAGTTTTTAGAAAGTTGCTATGCAGTTGCTGAGGTGTTTGGAATAGTGTCCAACGTGTTGCTATGCGGTTGCTAAGTCGTTTGGTTTAGTTTTTAGAAAGTTGCTATGCAGTTGCTGAGGTGTTTGGAATAGTGTCCAACGTGTTGCTATGCGGTTGCTAAGTCGTTTGGTTTAGTTTTTAGAAAGTTGCTATGCAGTTGCTGAGGTGTTTGGAATAGTGTCCAACGTGTTGCTATGCGGTTGCTAAGTCGTTTGGTTTAGTTTTTAGAAAGTTGCTATGCAGTTGCTGAGGTGTTTGGAATAGTGTCCAACGTGTTGCTATGCGGTTGCTAAGTCGTTTGGTTTAATTTTTAGAAAGTTGCTATGCGGTTACTGAGGTGTTCAAAATATTGTCCAACGTGTTGCTATGCAGTTGCTAAGGTGTTTGATTTCGTTTTTAGAAAGTTGCTATGCGGGTGCTGAGGTGTTCGGAATAGTGTCCAACGTGTTGCTATGCGGTTGCTAGTCATTTGGTTTAGTTTTTAGAAAGTTGCTATGCGGTTGCTGAGGTGTTTGGAATAGTGTCCAATGTGTTGCTATTCGGTTGCTGAGGTGTTTGGTTTAGTTTTAAGAAAGTTGCTATGCGGCTGATGCTATGCGGTTACTGAAGGTGTTTGGAATAGTGTCCAATGTGTTGCTATTCGGTTGCTAAGGTGTTTGGTTTAGTATTTAGAAAGTTGCTATGCGGTTGCTGTTGCTAAGGCGTTTTGTTTAGTTTTTAGAAAGTTGCTATGCAGTTGCTGAGGTGTTTGGAATACTGTCCAATGTGTTGCTATTCGGTTGCTGAGGTGTTTGGTTTAGTTTTAAGAAAGTTGCTATGCGGTTGCTGAGGTGTTAGAAATAGTGTCCAATGTGTTGCTATGCGGTTGCTAAGGTGTTTGATTTAGTTTTTAGAAAGTTGCTATGCGGGTGTTGAGGTGTTTGGAATAGTGTCCAATGTGTTGCTATTCAGTTGCTGAGGTCTTTGGTTTAGTTTTAAGAAAGTTGCTATGCGGTTGCTGTTGCTGAGGTGTTTGGAATAGTGTTCAATGTGTTGCTATGCGGTTGCTAAGGCGTTTGGTTTAGTTTTTAGAAAGTTGCTATGCGGTTGCTGAGGTGTTTGGAATAGTGTTCAATGTGTTGCTATGCGGTTGCTAAGGCGTTTGGTTTAGTTTTTAGAAAGTTGCTATGCGGTTGATGAGGTATTTGGAATAGTGTCCAATGTGTTGCTATGCGGTTTCTAAGGTGTTTGGTTTAGTTTTTAGAAAGTTGCTATGCGGTTGCTGAGGTGTTCGGAATAGTGTCCAATGTGTTGCTATGCGGTTGCTAAGTACTTTGGTTTAGTTTTTAGAAAGTTGCTATGCGGTTGCTGAGGTGTTCGGAATAGTGTCCAACGTGTTGCTATGCGGTTGCTAAGGCGTTTGGTTTAGTTTTTGAATGTTGCTATGCGGTTTCTGAAGATAGTTTTCAGCATGTTATTTTGCAGCTAGTTTTTATTACTTTACTATGAGGTTGCTAGGGTGTTTCGAATACTTTTCTGCATGTTGCTACATGCTCTTTCACTCTGAAATAAGTCATAAATGCAATGCAAGTTCAGTTGGATTTAGGGTGCAGGTGGCATTATTGTTTGGTTGAGGATCAACTCTAGGGTTCAGTTCCTGTGACATTCCAAAAATAAAGCTGAATTAAACTGAACATTTGTAATTTGCAGGAGTACATGAACACACTCTCCGGGACTCTGCTAGAAGCTCATTTTGGGGGCATCTCTATTTAACGGGGATAATGAATGGTTCATGTGGTTTAATCCTGGAGCAGCACAGAAACATTTCCAAATGAGTTTTTCAGGCAGTGAATCACAGAAGGTCAATGATAACAGCAACACGCTCACAGCTCCCAATCTAAATGCTAATGCAGCCACAGATTCAACTTGCTCTCGCTCTTTTGTGTGTTTTGCAGTGATTCTAGTTTAAAATACTCTTCTGAAGTTGGAGTGAAAATTGGAAAGTGTCAGCCTTGTGTTGTTGGTGTCCAGAGGGGTTTGGAGCATCATGTTATCTGATGAATGGATGAAAGAACAAGCAAAAGAAAGCATTTTCTCACCAAACACTCCAAAAGTCGAGCAGGTCGAGAGATGATGAAGAGGAGTTTCTTCACCAACTCAGTGACAAAGGTCAACTCTGAACTCTCTGACCGCTTATAAGCCTGAGAGACACAGACAGACAGAAACAAGCGAAACAATGTCATTATTTCTTCACATTACAGTAAAGAGACCGTCCTCTGCAGGTTTCATGAGATCTCAGGTTTGATGTGATGAACTCACATCGTCCAGAAGTTTCTCCAGGTTCTCCTGCAGCTCAAAGAAGTAGACGGACGTGATGAGACCCTCCTTAGATTTGGTCAGGCAGTCTCTGGACAGCTCGATGATCTGGTGGTGAATGAAGCTCAGGACTCCGTCAGCCAGCGGCAGAACGCTCTCGGGACAATACGAGTGGATGAAATCACACAACCTGCCCTCCATCTGCGCCGTGGCCTGACAGGAACAAATACAGAGACTACTTATGAAGATACACCTAAAGATATATATTCTAGAAATAATAGAAGAATAATGAGTATTTTATAACTAATAATAATAACTAATAATAATATTATTATAACTATTATTATTATTATAAAGCATTTTGTAATAAATAATCTACAATTATTATTATTAGCAGTAGTAGTAGTGTTTCTAGATTATTTCTAGGTAGTAATATAAGAAGAAGAAGAAGAAGAAAATTAGCATTTTAGATATTCTAGAAATGTATAATAATAATTACAATAATATGTATTTAATATAAATAAATAATTATTCTAGAAGTTCTTATTCATTTTATTAAGTATTTCCTAATAAATAAATAAATCTACAATTATTATTATTATTTCTGGATTATTTATTTATTACAAAATGCTTATGAATTATAATAAGTATATATTAAAATGTAATGTAAAATATACACATTTGATGTTCAGTATATAGTTGTGTAAAGCAAGATTATAAAATTTTTTTCATTTTTTAGAAAATGATTTTATTTTGATTTCTTATCTCTTGTCTGTTGATTACTCCAGCCGTCCTCGGTTAACCTGATGCCACTCTCACCATATAAATGTGTTTGTCTTACAGCAAACTGAGAGACAGACACCAGACACCAGTGAGAGCCTCTCTCTGTGTGTGTGTGTGTGTGTTTGTGTATGTGTGTGTGTGTGTGTTCAGTAAAAGAACAGACACTACAATTAAAAACTGAACGCGGCTGCTCAATGCAGCGTGCCGAACAACAGTCGTATCACAGATCAGATTTCATTTCTCCAGAGAGGAGATAGAGTCCAGCTGACTGACAAGAAGAGTGAGGTGAGACAGACAAGAAG